TATATAACTTTTTTTTAAGTGTGTCCTAATCTATGTAATGCTTAAGTAAAATTAGCTTTGCGGAAATTTTGGGTAGTGTAATGATACACTCATGTCCCTGTACCTGTTAGAGACTGTTTGCAAATTGAGGGCAGAATTTCTTAATGTTAAAAAAAAAAAAAAAAAAAAAAAAAAAAAAAAGCAGTCCTCTAGAGAAGGGGTTACCAACTTTCTCTCTCTCTCTCTCTCTCTATATATATATATGTATACATGATCAACTTTTTTTAAAGTGTGTCCTAATCATTAAAATCCTGATATTTAAAACATTCAACCTTGTATTTTGTATACTAATAAATGACAATGGGGAAGAGAGTGTTAAATAGCATGATATTTTGTTAATAATATTTATTAATTTAAAAGTAGCCATAGAGAAAACACACCTTAAAATTTTATTTCATTACCTTATTATTTATGGGAATTCTGTGTCTGCATGTCTCCAAGCATTCATAATTTGGTGAGTATCCATTTATAATGACAATGAGTCTTCAGTATGTAAATCATTAAATAATGGATGATATTTAGTCTTTGTAAAATTTAAATATGTAAAAGCTGCTTCACATTAATACCTAGATCCAAAATAAGAATAGACATATTTATTGTACAGTAAAAAGTCGTTAATCCGGACTCGGGACTTCGGCGATTCCAGATTATCGATTTTTCCAGATTATATATCATCAGTTTAAATCTGGTAAGATGGCATGCAGAAATTATAAAATTAAAAATATGAAACCGTAATTTATGAAATAAAGAACTATGATGTAAAGGGTATCAAAATTTACAAAAAGAAAAAGCTTAATATTTATTTGTTTACTTTATTAAACATTTATTTCAATGTAAGTTGATCAAGTTGCTTCATTTTATGTGATAATACTTTCTCTTTAATTCTATTAAACAGACATAATTTCTTGTTTAGTTACAAAGTTCCGCTGTTCAAGTCCTATAATTGCTGAGTCGAGAATGCCGACTAATTTGTCAATCGAAATTTTTTCGTTTTCAATAACCTCTGCGTCACTTTCTTCACTATTGGAAGTGAATTATAATGACGAGGAATTTGATTTAAATCATATCAAAGATGGAGTACATCGAGATGAAATACTACATTTAGTAAGGAATTATAAGCCAAATAAAAAACACATCTGCCCTGAAGATATGGATAGGGCTGACAGATCAACTTCCAATTTATTGCGCGCCGCATCGTTTCCCTCCCCCCTGCAGAGCAGCGTGAAATTGATAAACATATTTCGGAATGATTAGATAATCAAAGGATATGCCTTTATCCATTTTTTGCAGCAATTCCACTTTCTGTTTAATGGACTTCGAAACATACTTTTGCTTTGTAGATCCTTCACATATCAGTAAATATATATCGGAAATTCTATTTGACATAATCGAAAGTTCAAGCTTTACTTTTATAAAATTGCTCTAACAGTCTGCAAAAAATAATAAGCCGGATCCATTTCAAAGATTAAGGAACAACACAATCTGAAACATTAACTGAATTAGATAATTTTAGCTTAGCTTATACCGTCCGTCATACATTAAATGCGCACGCGTCAACGCAAAGCATGGGCAGAAAGTTTGTAGTTTTGAGGTCCGGATTATGGGTGTCCGAATTAACGACTGTTGACTGTATTTGCTTTCTCATTTGACGTATTTCTAAAAATATTTCACAGGTTCTCTGACTTGTAAGCTTAGATCCATTTGTAGAGTAATAATTTTTGTTTTCTAAGCCATTTTTTTCACTATTCAGAAATTTTTGCACAATATATTTTATATTGATTTTAATCCTTTTTAAAAGATGAAGACAGATATACTGCACAATACTTAACTTTTTCAAAAGCTTGAAGTCTTTAATCACCTTTTTAATTTCTGTAATGCATATTTCAGTGTCATAATTACATGTTGTTTTTGTAGATGATTGGGACATGTTTGGAAAGAGATTCAAATTGTCTTGTTGAAGGTGCTCTATATAACTGAAATAATCAGAAGTATTAAAGCTATATTTTGCCTTAATACTTCTGATAATTTCAGTTATTGTCTTGCTTTTTATTTTACAGTTCTAAATGTAAGCTTGTAATTTCATTGTAAAATTTAGAAGAATTACTAAGTCATCGAGCCAAGTTGCAAGGTTTAGGTTATTAACACATCAAATTATTTGATATATGTTATCACAATTTTGTTTTGTTTTGTTTTGTTGTTGTTTGTTTTTGTTTGTTTGTTTTGTTAGCTCTGACCGGAAAGTAAATGAAATGCATGTATCTCAGAACATAAGCTGCTTAAAACTAGAGAGAAATCCTTGGCAGTGATGCCTACCGTTATGCTATTCCTTTACCTAGCTTTCCATTATTAGCCTTTCTCCAGCCAAATTACTCACATAATTAGTTGAAGTTAAGCTAGTGCGTCTAGGCTTTTGCACTTGTAAATCTCCAACAATAAATTAATAATTTTAATTCACATTTGATATTATCTGTCTTGTGCTCGTGAGCACAAGTTTTCTGGGACAGTAGTTGTTCTTATAAACAGGACGATAATTTGCCAGCCAGTCACAATAGGATTGAAGTAATTAATTGAGAATATGAGTTTTATGATTTACAGAGTTTTATGATTTAAATTTGGATGTTTTTATCATGCTACTTAATTATTTTTTTAAAATCTCAATAAATCACAAAATCATCGCAGAAATTTACTTCTACTTAGTCACTTTATATCAGGCATTTCATTAGCTTTTTGGCATTGAATTATAAATCCATTTATGTGGCTTATCATTGCTTCTATCCCATCTGTTTCTATTGAAACTAATTTTAAAAAAGTGATAATTTCAAATTCGTAAGGAAATTTTTAAAAGAATTTAATATAGCTACATTTTTTTGTCTTTGAAATTTATATAGGAAGAGGTGGCATGCTAAACTCAGTTGAATGTAGAAAACTCTTGAAGTGTAAAGCAATGTTGAGAAAAGCTACTGGCATACTTCAAACTTCAGAATTAAATTGAAAATCTGTTGGTGAACGCTGCAAAACAAACGAAGATAGATCAAATCTTTGTAAAAGTTTAAAGTTTCTAGTACAAATAAAATAAAACTTTAAACGGTACTTTTCCGTTTTGCCGGCGCAAGCGATAAAGTCGCCAATAATGGTACAACCAATGCAAACGGAATATTCTCGCTGGTAACCTTTTATGCCACATTTTCAAAACAAGTCGCAGCTTTTTCTTATCAGATTGATTGTTTCTTTCAATACTGGCATACTATAATTACATAGAATTTTTATCAGATAGTTCAGTTTTATGTCTAAGGCCATTTTCGGTAATTAAGTCAATTAGGATGCAATCACAGCTCTTACCCGAAGCCGAAAATATAGAAAAGGTAAAGTCAAGGGTTAAATTCATCAATTCTAATAAGGATACATTAGCGAAGTAAAGCACTGCAGTTTTACATAATTTCTGAGTAAGCTATTCGTACGCATTGAAATATTTCTTGCATTTAAACTTGTGTTCCTAATTAAGATTTAACTTGAAATTAATGTAGATAATTACTGAGAGCATTAGATTTTTGTAGAGTAGTTTACGTGAGATGAGACTGCTTGGGGTCACGTGATATAAACCGGCGAATTAGGATGTTGAACCTTGAAAGCATAGTAAATTCTTAAATTAATGTCTTTTTACAAATTTATTGTCTTTATTTATTGGCTTTTTATAAAGATTTAAGCGACATTAAAATGTTTATGAAGAAATTAAAAGAATTCTTAGAACTAAATTTTTTTAAATATTTTTTATGTGTATACTGTATGTTGTCGCCAATAAAGTCTGCTTGGCGAGATTTGCGCCGGCGAAACGGAAAAGTACCCTTTAAACTTTGGAGTAAGAGTTTAAGTACTTTAAAGTAAGAGTTTAAGTTGTAAGACTTTAGAGTAAGAGTATTTACAACTATGTACTAAAGTTATTAAAACATTTTTTAATAAATTTCAAATTCGTATAAATGTTTAATTTTAGGATTCATTTTAAACTATTGTTTGGGGTATTAATTTTTAGATTAGTTTTTAATTATTGTTTTTCTAGATAAGTTTAAATTAGATGACATAATTTGCAATATACAATTTGCCATGTATTTAAACGTGCTTGTTGCTGACATGAAAAGAGTACCATCTTCTCCAGACCAATAGTATATTTTTGTGTAAATACCTCAGACTATTTTTCAGTATGAGAATTCAGAGTTGTTTTAAGCAAAAGTATGATTTTAATATTATTTTAACTATTTTAATATTATATAAGAATTTTGAAGCTATTTAAACTAGTCAGAACCTGAGACTGCATGTCATAAATGTAAGTCATAGCTTCTTATGGACCACTTTTTAATATGAGTGCGGTTGCTATGGATATCACCAAGAAATTAAAAAGTGCTGGGCCTCTACTACTGTCCCACATGTGCATCTCATTCTGTTTAAAGAGCTGTGTATTTATTGCCACAATAAATACATAGTCATGTATGAGCTGGTTGGTACTGAACATGCTAATTTTTATGTTGTTCAGATTTATGTATAAATTAATAAAGTTCTTTATTTCATATTAAAACACCAGCTGCAGTAAACTGTCAGAATTGCTAAAGTTTTAAGCAATGGCTGAGTATTCTGAAGTTTATATGTGCATATATATATCAGCTAAATTATTTTTTTAACTGATTATGGATATTGTGTACGAAATTCATACCATAAATAAAATTTTTATGTATTGTTTAATCAAGGATAGTGAAGCTGATATAATATAATGCTGGATATTGTATTTAATGTGCATAGAAATCTATTTTTTTTTCATATACTTTTACACTTATAAATATATAAATTTTCACTTAAATGTTGTCATTATTATTGCTTGATATGCCTGTATAATTATGCATAATATTTCATCAGTAACCTAACATAGCATCTCACAGTCACTTATTCAAAACATGTTTTAAAATTTTTTTCAGGCTTTCTCAATGAATTTGGACGAATTGAGTGTTAAGGCTGTATATCACGATAATGCACAGGTATTTGATTGCAAAAGAAAGGACTTTTTAACAGAGATATCAAAACGTTTTGGTGTGAATGAAAATGAAATATTAATTTTTGAATCTTCGAAAAACTCTAGGAGACAAATCTCAGTTGATAGTTTAAAACCAGTTTCTAAAGTAGAAATTATGCAAAGGACTTCTCCTCCTAGATTTTTAAATGGCCAAAGGTACTATATAAATCTTGGTGTTATGCTAATATAAATGTTTTTAGTGTTAATTGCATTTATCTTATAAATGGATGATATTAAATCTTATAAATGTATATCTCTTTAAAATCACTGTACTAAATGAAAATAGAGAAATTTGTCTTTTGTTTTCTTTCTTGTGAAAAATTCATAAATGTGAGAAATTAAGTAATAAAATCCAAGGAAATGCTTAATACATTAGAATGCAAATAAAAAAAAGTAACATTGCATTTATCATATAAAAGGTGATTCAACTTTAATAAAACCACTGTACAAAATGGAAATAAAGAGAAATTTTTCTCTTGTTTTACTTTTTGCGAAAATTTTTAAATACAGTAAATCATAAATTGGGTAATAAAATCCAGGAGAATACTTAGTACATTAGAATGCAAATAAAATAAAGGTTTTTAACTCTTAGTGTGAAATAAAAAGTATATTATGAATTAAGCATATTTTTAAATTCCTGACAACTATTGAATTTTATCTTTATTTTCCTCTTGCAGTATATTTTGTTTAGATGAAGTGTATTTGAGTTGCATTGTTAGGATATTCAGTACTTACGTATTAACGCAACCAGGCCAAAATTCGCATAAATTGCCGAATTTGGCGACCCTACTTACGGCAACCCTACGTGTTATACGTAGTTTTGTAAAAAGAGCATGTGGAGATTCACAAAATTTTCCTGCATTTTCGTGCAAATTTTTGTAATTTATGAGAAAATAGCAGTGTACATAGATAAAGTCAAGAGTGTGCGCAATGCCATTTTTGTGCAATTCTGGGATGTTTTTTTAAGTAAAAATAAGTCGACGTGTACATGGTTATGGCGAATACGGTTTTGAATCAGTGCTAAAAGCAATAGCCAAAAGATTTCTGCCGAAAAAATAATTTTGCAACTTATTCAAATTCAAAACCGGAAGGGTTTAATTGCTATTTTATATTTTAAAACAAAATAATATAAAAAACTGTATTAAAAATTATCTGTAATTAATAAATGTACATTTTCTTTCTATTCATACTTTTTTACTCAAACTTACAAATAGCGCCAACCTGGTTGCAATAATACGTAAGTACAGGATATTCCTAGCATTCCTACTGATAGAACATTAGATTATTTGTAAGCTTTCAAGGTCTGCTTTCAAGATGCACTGAAATATGCAGAAAAGAGATAACACTGCACACTGTTTAGATTAAAAAGCTAGGATAAACTATGTCATTGATATTCCTTTTGTAATTTGCAAGATGCTTTTTTTAAGAACATTGTATTTAGTGGAAAATAAGACCTTCCTTACAATTTAGGATAAATTAAACAAAAATGTAGATGAATATTTGCTTTGCTTAGCAGTAATTTTCTTAACCTAAAGTCCCCTTCTTCCATTCAAATTTTCTTGAAATAACATTACCTGCTAGTGATACATTATTATCTGTCTGTTTTCAGGCAGCTGAAAAATCACTCAGCTAGACATAGTAAATCTAATTAGCAGTGCTGTTTATAATGTAATTACCACTGTGGTTTAAACAGTGTGATTATTGTATGTAATATAATAGTTGAGCTCCTTTGTCTCATTCTACAGTTTACTTAGAAACCAATTATAAAACTCTATGAAATTTCAATAAAAAGATATAGGGAAAAAAAGGTATTATTCTCAAGCAAATGTTGCAATCATATTTGTGCATATTTTGCTCATATTATTTAAATTTTTATACATGTGGGATTTGTAAAAGAAAATTCAGTTCATCGTGATTCTTTCATATTCAAGTATTGTATATGTAATGAAAACTCAGGCATAAAATGTATATGTATTTGCTTAACAGTTATAGCTCGTTGTTTATTAATCACTAGATAGTAAATTTAAAAAGCTCTAGCTATTTTGGCTAATTAGCCCCGAGTTATTTGACAGTAAAAAATTAGGATCTTTGATTTTGAATCTTTAACAGTCACTTGAAAACTATTTTATCCTCCTTTGCTCTCTTTTGACATGTTGCCAGAGTTATGAAATTGAAAGGGTGTAGAAAATACATAAGGTATCAACTTCATAGGTAAAAATTGAGCTGAATTGTCCCACCAGTGGAGGAATTTAGCCAATTTTTTATGGTTTGAGGTGTGAAGCTGCTGTATACTAGCAATGCCACAGAATATGAGCCTGGGGATAGAATCCAAATTGGTCAACTAGACTGAGACTGGATCTGAAGCCTAAAAATTTACTTAGATTACTTTAAATAATTTTAGCTACAGCGACTGCTATCGATCTATGTACACTTCTGATACATCTAAGCCAAGCAATCTTTCATCGTTATCTTCAATAAAAAATAATTTGTTTAATTTTTTCTTCATAGTCATCCATGGTTAAAGCCTTTCTTCAATTAATTTTAATTTTGCTATCTTAACAGATAGATCTAAAGCATTTCCCTCATTACTAAATTCGTTACACGCTAACCTCCAATGCTATGTTCAACCTTTTTTTAAACTAATTAAAAGATTTCTATGAGCTTTCATAATCAACACAAAACTTAACTCAATAAGCAGTGAACTCAGAAGGAAAGAAACTGTTCGCTTACTCAGCTTAAAAATGCAGATGAATCCTGTTGGTCGATTGATGGTGTGTACAGTATCGGCGTAAAGACATTAAATCAGAAAAAGATTTCATTCACAAAATTCACAAACGTTTATTTGAAGACAATCACAAACGAGAATCATTTACATCTCCTCAGACGAATATATAGCATTTCTAAAAACTTTCATAAAAATATATTATTCAATAAACAAGTGTCTAATATTTTTCTAGTATACTTTCTCTACGATGCAAAATAAAACTCTCTTGCTACCAATAAACACTAGTCACAAAACTCTTAACAATCATTCTAAAATTTTTTAATTAACGGAAAAAAAAGCATTTGATCTACTGTCATTAAAACATAATTGACAAGATTTTGTTTATACTCTTGCTCACGTGTTGGATGGGGAAATGTAAAGATATAATTTCTGACAGTTATTTAACAGAAGTAACAAAGAAATATTTATTCATATATTCTTATTATTTATGTTCATTATTCATAAATAAGCATTAGAGATCATGCATATATATAAATTATAATGTAATGATAATCTGTTAATTAAGAATATTGTGGATCTGTGCCATTTCCATCACTAGGAGGATAAAAAGCCAAAAATGTCAGCCTTTTTTTACTATACAATTTTTATTTTAAAAATGATTATCATAGCATGAGGCTTTGAAGCTGATTATTGACTAAAATATCTATAAAGCTGTGCATCATTTATGGAAAAAGTTAAAAATATGCCAATTTTTGCATCAAAGGATAAAAACTACAAATCTGAAAAAATAATAATGATCTTCCTATTTTGTATTGAATGGCATGCAATATTACCATGAACGCAGGCCCGTGGTAGGTAGGCTGAAATGGCAAAGCACTGTATAGTTCATTGTCTGTCTTAAAAAATTTCTGTCTTGGATGGTCAAGGATTTGGTTTCAATTTCTCTTTTGGAGAAATGAGTATCTGCATTCTGTGTTGTCACTTAACTACCAGTTATTTAAGTTGAAAGGACTGAAGCACTTTTTAATGTATATTAAATTAGTGTGAGAATTCTTTTGATTTCTAATGAAGACAAGAAAAATATCTTAATTCCTGTAAGTTGCCAAATCTAAATGTTTTTAAATTAACTGCATTTGGTAATTTAGACATGTTAATTTGAGTGCTCTAATTAGCAACTTGATACAGAGGTTACAAAATGTGTGTTGGAGACCATTTTCATAGGTACTGTTAAAATCTAAAACTGCTGTTGAGACAGCGTATTAAATTTTTATTCCAAAGGGGCTTTGTCCCTGAAAGACTGTTGTTTCTGCTTTGTGATTTTGTGTTGAAAAGTTTAAAAGGCTGTATTACTTTTTAAATCGTTGCCATCAAATACTATCACCCTGTATTATATTTAAAAATATTAAATAATGAAGAATCTGTATGATGTTTCTCGCATTGCGATAAAACAACGGTACGTAGAGCTATCCAATTTTGAATGACGTAATCCTACTGCGAATATGAAAGTCCTAATTTGAAATTTGGAATTTGTTATATTATTGACTTCATATTTTGTAAAACTTTAATGGATTTTTGATTAACAAATTCAACGATTTAAAAGCGAGGAATGGCAACACTACGAGGGGAGTGAACTTTTTTATCTCCAGCGCGCAGAACTGTGTATCGGAAATTCTAGAGATATGCTCATTTTAAAATTATTTTGGGACTTTGCTGTTGAATTGAATTTTATAGTTCAAGGGAAAAGAACATGATATTTAACAGGTAACACACAAAATGTTTAAAAAAACGTGCCTTTGGACGTAATTTAAAATCTGAAACCTTCTTTTTTTTTTTTTTTTTTTTATTTTATATATGTGTGTTTAAAAAGTGCATTTGTGTGATTATGTGTGTGCAGTTTTTAAACATTTCATGTCAAAATGTTGAAAAAATAATTAGCATATAGTATTTATTACTTTAGAGTTGTAAGTATTTCCTATTTCACATATCAATAATTTAATTATTTCCAGGCCTAGCTTATCAAATAAAAAAACAGAAGTAGAATTATGCATCATTTCAAAATTAAGGGAGAATCGAGCGTTAAATGGCACTGAGAGAAAATTCTTAATTGAGCTGATTGAGAATGATGTTGAAAAGTATGATTTAAGTCATGTTTTCTTTTAACTGTTTAAAAATTTTCTTTAATTTTCATATATTGGCAGAATTTATTTAATTTTTGAAATCAATTTTGTCTTATTATAGCAAATGTTTACACCAGAATTTTTCGTTTAAAAAGCATTTAAGCATGTAATATTCATATTTGTGATGACTCATCTATTTTTCTTTATTTAAATAATTTTGTTAATAACTTATCTCTTTCTGGGATATCAAGTCATTTGCCATTATGTACAAATATGAAAACTGAATTTTGATTGAAAAAAGAAAGACCTAGAGGTATAAAACATAATACAGTCAAAAGTCGTTAATTCGGACACCCATAATCCAGAATGATCTATAATCCAAACTTCAAAGCTACAAACTTTCTGCGCATGCGTCGCGTTGACACATGCACGTAAGACCTTTACGGCTGCGAATATGCATGTGCGCATGCGCAAAATACGTTTACGAATGCACGTTTAATGTGTAACGGATGGTATAAGCTAAGCTAAAATTATCTAATTCAGTTAATGTTGCAAATTGCGTTGTTCCTTAATCTTCGAATTGGTTTCGGCTTATTATTTTTTGCAGACTGATAGAGCAATTTTATAAAAGTAAGCTTGAATTTTTGATTATGTCAAATAGAATTTCTGATATATATTTACTAATATGTAAAAGATCTACAAAGCGAAAGTACGTTTCGAAGTGCATTAAACAAAAAGTGGAATTGCTGAAAAAAAATGGATAAAGGCATATCTTTTGTTTATCTAAACTTTGTTTATCTTTAATGCGGCGGTGCAATGAATTGGAAGTTGATCTGTCAGCACTATCCTTATCTTCAGGGCAGATGTTTTTATTTTATTTGGCTTATAATTTCTTACTAAATGTAGTATTTCATCTCGATGTACTCCATCTTTGATATGATTTAAATCAAATTCCTCGTCATTATAATTCGCTTCCCATAGCGAAGAAAGTGACAGAGGTTATTGAAAACGAAAAAATTTCGATTGACAAATTAGTCAGTATTCTCCACACAGCAATTATAGGACTTGAACAGCGGAACTTTGTAACTGAATAAGAAATTATGTCTGTTTATAGAATTAAAGAGAATGTATTATCACATAAAAAACGAAGCAACTTAAACAACTTACATTGAAAGAAATGTTTAATAAAGTAAACAAATAAATATTAAGCTTTTTGTTTTTTGTAAATTTTGATACCCTTTAGATCGTAATTGTTCTTTATTTCATAAATTACAGTTTCATATTTCTAATTTTATAATTTCTGCATGCTATCTTACCAGATTTAAACTGATGATCTATAATACAGAAAAATCAATAATCCGGAATCACCGAAGTCCCGACGAGTCCGGATTAACGACTTTTGACTGTAGTTATTATGAATTTTGACTTTAATATTGAGCAGGGAAAAGGTTTATACAGTCAAAAGTCATTAATTCGGACACCCATAATCCAGACTTTAAAGCTACAAACTTTCTGTGCATGCGTCGCGTTGACGCATGCTCGTAAGACCTTTACGGCTGCGAATCTGCGTGTGCTCGTGCGAAAAATACATTTACAAATGAACATTTAGTGTATAAAGGAGGGTATAAGCTAAACTAAAATTATCTAATTCAGTTAATGTTGCAGATTGTGTTGTTGCTTATTCTTCGAATTGGATTCGGCTTATTATTTTTTGCAGACTGTTAGAGTAATTTTATAAAAGTAAACTTGAACTTTCAATTATGTCAAATAGAATTTCTGATATATATTTACTAATATGTAAAGGATCTACAAAGCGAAAGTATGTTTGAAGTCCATTAAACAAAACGTGGAATTGCTGCAAAAATTGGGTAAAGGCATATCCTTTGTTTATCTAAACTTTAATGTTTGTTTATCTAAACTTTGTTTATCTTTAACGCCGAGGCAACAAATTGGAAGTTGATCTGTCAGCACTATCCTTATCTTCAGGACAGATGTTTTTATTTTATTTGGCGTATTACTTCGTCTTTGATATGATTTAAATCAAATTCCTCATCATTATAATTATTTCTTCGCTTCCGATAGCGAAGAAAGTGACAGAGGTTATTGAAAACTAATAAATTTCGATTGACAAATTAGTCGGTATTCTCAACACAGCAATTATAGGTCTTGAACAGTGGAACTTTGTAACTGAAGAAGAAATTATGTCTGTTTATAGAATTAAAGAGAATGTGTTATCACATAAAAAACTAAGCAACTTAAACAACTTACATTGAAAGAAATGTTTAATAAAGTAAACAAATAAATATTAAGCTTTTTTTTTTTTTTTTTTTTTTTTTTTTGTAAATTTTGATACCCTTTAGATCATAATTGTTCTTTATTTCATAAATTACGGTTTCATATTTTTAACTTTAAAATTTCTGCATGCCATCTTACCAGATTTAAACTGATGATCTATAATCCGGAAAAATCGATAAACCGGAATCGCCGAAGTCCCGACGAGTTCAGATTAACGACTTTTGACTGGATTCAAAAATATTTGTCATTGTACATTTAAGTATACAGATATATATCTGAAAATGTTTCCAGACAATTAAGCTAGTATAAATACTAAAAGAAAAGGAATCAAGATACAAATTACAAGAGTCATTTTAGAATTATAATCAAGAAAATACCATTTACTGATAACTTTTTGTAGTTATCAAAAACATTTTTTTACTGATTTCTTAAAATTAATTCTTATATTGAGCATATTAAATTTGACTTTTACTTGGTATCTCTTTTCGTTTTTTAGTAGATCATCAAAACAAAATCTTATGACTGAAAAGAGAGATAAAAATGTAACCGTTTGCAATAAAAAAGTTCAAGTTAGTTCTCCGACCCTGACTACAGATGCTATAACACAAACAGGTATTTTTTTGCTAATTTTAATTTTTTATATTATGTACATATAAATCTGTCTGTGTCTACTAGTTTCGAATTGCAAAATTAAGAGTATTAATTATTAAAGTCATGCTGCAAAATTAGATAATTATAGTAATTAAATCAATAAAAATGGCAAACTTACTAACAGAAATAATACTTAATTAACAAAATTGAAACAAAAGCAAAACAGAATAATAATAATAAATTGTTAAAAATTCTTTTTTAAAGAGCAAGCAAATAATTTTCAACGAAGCCACATTTCTGATTTATATCTGGATGACCATCTAAATTCATGAAATGAATCATAAAAATCAATAAAGAGTAATTTAAAATGTGATTAGTTAAAATTACTTTATTTTCAAACTTGATTATTAGTTTATTTTTAAGCTACTAACATTTTAAATCACTTCCTATTGATTTTTTCGATTTATTGCATGAATTAACTTTGATAATGATCCAAATTTAAATCAGAAATGTGGCTTTGCTGAAAATTTTTCATACTGCCCCTTGAAAAAGACCAAAAAAATTTTTAACTATTTGATAGTATTTTGTCTTATTTCAATTTTGTTGTTTAAATATTCTTTGTATTACATTGTCATTTTAATTGATTAATTATTTCTTGATATACCCTGTTGTAAAATACATATATATATATATATATAATATGCACCCTGAAAAAATTGAGTCACAACTACAAAATGCGGCATGCAAATATGGTTTGGCAAATTCCGTAAATAATTTAACTTGCAGCACCAATCAGCATTGTGGAGGGATGCAACATATGTCTGAAGGTGAATGTTAAAGGGTAGGTGCAGTGATTGACGAGCATTCGACTGGCCTCCAAGTGTTGCACTATGAGCTCCTGCCAGTGGGCCATACCATCACAGCAGGCCTGTACTCGCAGAAGTTGGAAAGTGTGCATCAGGCACTGATGCATGAAGAGCCAGCATTGGTCAAACTTAAGGGTGTACTCCTTCCTCCATGATAATGAAAGGCCGCATGTGACTCGGGAGGCCATAGACACCATCCATCGACTGGGCTGGGAGACACTACCCATTCACCATACACACCAGACCTCATGCCAACAGATGACCACCTTTTCCACTTCTTGCACAACCATCTTCGTGGGAAATCCTTCAACAACCGGCCAAACCTCAAAAAAGCACTCATGGACTTCTTTGCGTCCAAGAAAGCTCTCATGGAAGTTCTTTGCATCCTGAGTTTTACCACGATGGCATCACACAGTTAGCCACCTGTAGGCAAAAGGCACTAGATGCTGATGGTGATTACTTTGAGGATTAGTGATGATTATTATTTGTTTTATGATTTTTTTTGTTCTGACTGTCCAAAACGCCAAGAATCTTTTTCTTTACTTTGTAGAAAAAAGAATCACACTGCCGAGGCATTTGCAGATGTTTTCAAGTTTTACACAAACATTTGACTGACAAAATTAATTGAATTAAAAAAAATGTATAAGCTGTATTTGATACTTTAGATCAGGGGTTCTCAACCAGTGGTACGCAAGAGAAAAATAGGTGGCACATAAAGAAAGAAGTATTTTTAACCATTAAATTCAAAAATTAAAACCCCAACATCCTGATTGAGTTTTTTTCTAACACTCGTAAATTTCTGCTATCTGAGCTTTGTTCATGAGTGGTAGTAGTAGTACTTTGTAGTGGTGGTACTAAAAGTTTGAAATTTTTGTTTAGATGGTATGTGTTAGCCAAAAAGTTGAGAATCGCTGCTTTAGATCATGCCTACAATCTATTTTGAATTCCCTTCCAAGTATGAAGTATGAATTTAGAACAAATACTATGGCTCATATTAATATTTTTATTTTTATGGTGGATCATTGTTAACTGTGTGGTGCTGTTAATTTTTAAATGAACTTTTGAACTCAATATAATTTGTGTAAAATATAGCATTATTTCTTCTCTTTTTTGGATTTTCTTCTTCTCTATTTTGGATGAAAAATGAGTTGCATATGTTGAGTACTTTTGCGATATTGTACAAATATCTCTGAGGAAATTTCAGCATTTTGTTTTATTTGTTATGATAAGAATAAATTTTATTCACTTTTCATCGGACTTGTACATTCAATTTATTATGAACCCGTACGCATGCAACAATGTCATACATACATACTGAAAAACGTCACTCAGAAAGCTCTAAAAATGAATTTGCATTTTACTGCCACATGAATAAGAAATCATCATGAAAAACATAATTTTATTAAGCAGATAGTGGTTTGAATGTTCATGTGATCTTTGTCTGATAGCTATTTTATTTATACGCTGGACCAAAAGTCACTTTACATTATTATTTTTTTTTTTTACTTTTGAATATTTAATAATTTTCTTTTTAACATTATAATATACATATCTTGGAGATTTGTGTGACCTAAACATGAAAGATAACATATTTTAAATGGCCCCTGTTAGTTGAGCTGAAAGACGGTATTCGTCTGAAAATTTGAATGACAAACTGAGTCACTTTGCAGGCAGTTATGGCGAGTACCATAGAAAGAGTTCACCTTTGTACAGGGAAAAACGAGGGTCTTTTAAAAGATGTTATCCTTCATTTTAAGTCAGAAAAATCTGTAAAATGTGTATACTGTTATGTTAAAAGTTAGCAAATAAAAGTCGAGTTATTTCATTTTTAAATGATAGACTTTTGGCATACCCTGTATTCACTTTAAGCACTCGCACTTTGAGAAATCTGTCAACAGCAACTCTCAGTTGGAATAATTGCACACTTTCTTGTTTGCAAATATCAATTCTTTTCATGGATTTGGAATGCTATGTTTGTTATTTCACACCAGTATTTGAATTTAGTACTGAGTGATACCTTATTAACTGAAAAGTTATTGTATATTGAAAAATAGCGATTGAAAATAGATATTGAAAAATATTGATAAAATGTATTGTATATTGGAAACATTTGTATTAACAGTTTTTCCTTATTCTTAGAATCAGTGGAACCAAAGGAATTAACAGGAGCTAATCATAGTAAGAAAAGAAAAAATGACCAGGTCGAATTACAAATCAAACGCATTGCTAGAAACGGAAATCTTGATAGAGCTGAGGTTACTAGGTTGTTAGCTGAGTCATATGACAATAGAAGACACTTCATTCTTCATGATCTCCCTCTTGTACAGCATGTAAAAGAAAAATACCCTCTTCTTTTTACATTTGAAGAAGTAAGTTTTTAATTTTTTATACAAAGGTGAAAGAAGATTTTTTTTAAATTAATTCAATATGTTCTTTGGAGTGCAAACAATTTTAATATTGTCTTTTAAAAAACAAAGCAAAAAAAAAAAAATAATAAAATAATAATAATAATATAATAATAAGATTTTAAGTATTCCAATGTAATTTCCTTACTGCTACTATTTGATTTTGTCCAGAATTTTGTAATTTAGTAACTAAGCATAATTTCATAAAATGCTGAGATTAAAATTGAATAAATACTTGAGCTTCTTTGAATTAAATGCTGTGTGTAGTAGCATACATCTATTGTCTTTGTCCTTTAATGTGCGTTATGAACTTTCTTTTAATATTGTAATCATTTTCTGTGTAAAATAAATAAAGGGTCAGCAAAAAAAGAAAAGATATAATGCATATATATACTTTCTGTAATTGGTCTGATGTTAAATTGGGGGGAAGCATCCCTGCCCTTCCTTAGCAGTAAAAGAATTTTTTAAGTCTCATCTTTCTAGAAACATCCAAAACAGCTTCGAGGCAGGATTACCGAAAGCTCACAGGCATCAGTCGGGTAGCATTTTTGTGATGTATCGGTTAGTACTAGTCTATTTCGTCATGTGTTTTGCCTTAGCTTTTTAGAGGCAATTTTTTTTTTTTTTTTCAATAAAAAAATTTTCATGAAATTTTCCTCTTTCTAAATGCATTCAGAAAACAGAAAATGGACTGTTCTAAATTTTAAAATAGATTTGTCCATGTAGTGATTGCTTTTTTATTACTAAGAAGGAAAACCCTTGCAAACTACTTGTAAAGATCATTAACAATTGAACTTATGCCAGCTTAATGCAACGACCGACAAATCGCAGTGAAGCAAGTATGACTTCATATGCAGTCTACAATTTCACTGAATCTGCTGAACATTCAGCTGCTTGAATTATTTATGCATGACTTGAGGCCTAAGAAGTAAGAGAGACAACAATAAGAGTAGATGAGATTCAAGTTATGGGGAACTAAAAATGAAGATGTCTTATTAGATGATATAATGTTAAATGTCGGCCTATTACAGAGGTTACGAACAACATGAACGAAGTGTGTTAGTAAGCAGAATACACATATATACAGTATATACAATAATATTTCTTTCCTAAATAAAAATTATGCAATAATTCAGTTCTCTCAATATTAACTTTTGAAGTTGTATCATAATGGCCAAAGTTGGTAGGTAAAAATGAGTATGCCCGATTCAGACACTTTAATAGAGTTGCTTATTTTTATATCAAGAATAGAAAATGAACTGCCGTATGACAGATTAATAAATATACAATGCCTAACATGTAAATAGTATTCTGAGGGTGTAAATAGCATTTCAGGAAAAAAAGTAGCTCCAGTGTGGCGAGTAGGGCGAATCACTCTATTTCCTGACAGAGAAAGAAAATTTCATTAGTGGGAGGAGCAAAATGACTTTATATGGGAATGAATGTAGCATGATTTGTTGAGCTAAGTAGTAATGAAATGTGAAGTATTAGAAATTAATAAATGAATAATTAATTAATTAATTAATAATGAAGTATTAGAAATCTGAAAGTATTGGGAAGAGCGAGACTCGTGGTCGGCTAACTGTCCGTGTCGACTAAGTGTCCTTGTCAGCTAAATGTCCTGTTGACTAAGTGTCCTGTTGGTTAAGTGTCCGCGACCAAGTTTAATGTAGAAAATGAAACTATTTAAATTATTAATGTAACAGTACTACATTGCTATAACAGCTAATAGTACAGACAGGTTAAAAAATTAGTTTCTTTGTCCCTCTGTGTAAAAAAATTGCCAACTTTATATGAAATACTGGCTAAATGGGAGAAAACAGGAATGTAAGATATGAGTTTAAATCTCTAGGTCCATAACATGAGAAATCTACAGGTTTTTCTCCTGCTTTATGAAAGTAGTATTATTTATTCTTATAACCCACCCCTTATTATCCTTATTATAATAAGGGGTGGGTGTTTCAGAACTCTTTAATACTTAACTGTAAATTACTCTAAACATTTGTAGCACAATATTGGACCCTGAAACATACAGCATACAATTAAATTAATGTTGATTTTTTATATCAAGTTCTAGCACAATAGGAGTCATGAAAATAGCAGAAATTGTAAGATAATTAGGTATAAATACAAAAATGAAGAAAAATTATTAATAGTTCTTGGTAGAAAAATATTGTGTGATGGTAGATGGTCTCTCACCTTCATTCTGTCATCATGCAGCTTCATCCTGTAAGCAACATAAGAACAAAATGTCTATACCAGATGCACCTTGCTCCTTTATGTAATGGAGCATTCCTTCAGTCCTTTACTAAGGGTCATCATTTTAGCTTTTTCGTTGTCTTCAGTCTCTTTGTTTTTTAATCATCTTCATTTTTATCTACATTATCTTTCACTAGTGCAACTATTTGTGCATGACCTAAAATTTCACAATTTTCTTCAATCTTTCTTCAATCCCATCCATTCTTCAACATCACCATCAGTAACTTCTTCACTGCCTGGAATTTTCTGAAGTAAGTCAACTATTCCACAGTTTTCTGTCTCTTCTCTGTTTTTGTAAAATTTGTTTCCTAAATGGTTCAGCAACTTTTTCCTGGAATGAATGGGGCTTAACTACTCGATTTCACTCCAAGGCTGAGCTATGCATCCAGCATATCTATTTACTTCAGTTTCCTGATCATATCACATCCTTCCTACATGGCTAGGACAAGAGGTGAAAGAAGTTTACATCTGTATTTTTTCTTCAGTGCCTCTAAAATGCTGTGGTCCATCGACTGACGCACTGAAGTTACGTTAGGAGGGAGAAACATGGCTCTTTTGTATCTTTGTCTCATAACTGTTCTGGATGATGATGATGGGATGAGGCATTGTGTAGCATGAGAATCGCCTTCCTTGGTAGATTTTTTTATTTTAAAAACTTTTACGCTGATGGAGCGAACTGCTCCATTCATCCATATGTTTGACTGATTCCAGTACCAAACAGGAAAATATAGTTGGTTTCGGTCCCATTAGTGACTTTTTTTTAAAATGCCGGAGATTATTTTATTTTCCTATAAGCACTATTTTAAGCTTATTGCTGCATGACAAGATTGTGACTCTCTCCTTGCTTCTTTTGTAGCGAGGTGCCGATTTTTCTCTGGATGCCAGCGTTTTCGGAGGTAGCATCCAAAAATTTAGACCAGTCTCATCACACTTATAAATTTCATCTCCAGATATACCCTTCTTTTCAGTTAGTTTGTGAAAATTATCCTTATATATTGCAGCATTTTCCAAGTTAGCAGATAGCTTTTCCCCACAAACGTTCAACTGCCTGATGCCGTACCACTTTTTCCGTCTGTCGAGCCAGCCAGCACTAGCAGTACATTCAGGCTCTCCTTCTTGAAATTCATAAAAATTTAGGGCTTTGTGTTGTAAAATTGTTCCTGAAATGGGTGTTCCCTGTTTCCTTTGCTGCTTGATCTACAAATAAATTGCTTCACTCACCTTTTTCATGTTCACCAACTTTCATACTTTTTCTTTCCTTTAAGGGGACATGTGACATATCGACTGATGAAATGCAACTATTTTGGGACAAAGGTTATTACGGCATAACTTTTCTCAAAATAAGCGTATACTCTAAATTCTTTTTTTTTTAATTTTAAATAGACAGTTTGTAAATTATACAAAACACATAAAATGCAAATTTAAAGCTTAATGTTTTTAAAAACCAGTTGTGTAATTTCTCTTATCTTTAACAAATCTTTTGTGACAGTGTGCTAGTGTGGTACATTTTTTTTTAAAAATACTGCATCAAACTTCTTCAAATTTTGCATGATGGTTAAAAACATATTGCTTAAGAATAATAAGCAGTATTTTACATTTTACTTAAAAAGAAAAAATATTAAAAATAAATTAGTAAAATGTTTTGAAAATCATAGAAAAAAATGATATTAAATTTTAAATCCCAGGTAGTTTCAAAGATATAGTTAAGATAAACAACTGTGGAAAATTTAAACCTTCTAGGCTGAATAGTTTTCAAGAAAAGTGTACCGAATGTTTAAAAGAAAAACACGTTTTGAGAAAAACTTAAAAAACAATTTAAACACTAATAATTTATTAAAAAAATCATTTTAACGTTTTCCTGCACCATAATCATCTTCAACTGGCATTTCTGCATCTAGTTGTTTTTGTTTTATTAACTTATGTTTCGTTTTGGTCGTTTCAGAAAGCTTTTGGCAAGTGAGATGGGCCTCACAAATTCTATCGCAATCTATTTTTGCAAAAAATTTACCATATAAGACCCTGGTTGTATTCCCAATAATTCCATTAGTTATTGCGATATTGTACACCATTGTACATTGTCATTAAAACATATTACCGCATCTAATAAACCTAATTTTAATGTGATGACACTCACAAAACAGTTTTTGGTATGCGTGTCCAGATGCAATTATTAAAATTTTCATTCAGGTTTTGAGTTGGTGTTGTTCACTTGTCTGACGTATAGCAGCGCAAGGAGCACCTGTTGTTTGCAACAGCCTTGAGCACCTTACAGGTGACTGTGATTTAGCTCAGTTCCACACCCAATATTGATGGAGAGCACCCCAGGGGGGACAGTCCGAAGGACCCTACCATCCTCCTCTCGAGAGGGCTTACGGCTCGCCACATATTTTGGGTGCTTCCATGCCGCACGTGCACTATACATTTACAAACATCAATGCCTTCTCCGAGATTCGAACCCAGGCCCTTCGGCATGGTAGTCAGCATCGCTAACCACTATACCAGTTAAGCGGTGGGTTTTGACTTCTTCCATGAATGCAGTTTGAGAATAGTGTTTTTTTTTTTTTTTTTTTTTTTTTTTTTTTTTAAATCAGAGAGCCTTCTAAAGACTTCCTCTCAGCTAATAAAAGAGGTTCTAATAAAGAATGTTTATGAACATACTTTTTACTAGCTGATATGGTTTTATTGTTGCCACACCAGACATCTGT